TATCTATCTAGCTAGCTATTTAGCTTCCATATATCTATCTATCTAGCTTCCATATATCTTTCTATCTAGCTATCTATCATCCATGTATCTATATAAAATGTTGAACTTGTTTTTTATCTGAACTGTTGTGACAGATCTCCAAGCAGCACAGCAGCAGCAGCAGCAGCCAGATGTTCACAGCTCCATGCTTGTAGAGAATGTCTACGTGGATCACAAAGCAGTGGACAAACTGACAGAGGGGTTCCTTTCCCACTACCTACCAGACCTACAGAACTCTAAACGATCCCTGCAGGAGCTCACGTTAGTGCTTTCTTTTTTTCCTGTGTTTTGATGCGTACATCTCTTTTTGGAGATAACGTTTATATAAATGAAATTACTTTAATCAATTTATCAAGGGGTAGAAGCTGTCAGAAATGATCCTGGTGGAAAACAGAACCTGAATATGTGCCATGATTAGTTTACAAAAATAACTAATTAAATAAGTAACCAGTGGAGGGTTTTCAGATTTTTCAGATGGTGTATTTAAGTTCCTGTTGCAGCTCATTAATCAGTCAAGCCCAGACTTTGACTAGGCCATTCTGAAATCCATTTTTTGAGGTGCTTCCTGATTTTGGCTGCACAGCTTAAATGTTCTTAACCTAAAAGCCACAACCTGATGGCCTGCAGATCTCTTTCAGGAGGTTCTGTCAGAGAACAGTTTTATAAATTTTATAATTCTAAAGTTTTTCCAGGTTCTGGAGCACCAAAAAGCAGCAAATCATCACACTACCAACCACGTGCTTCTGAGTCAGAAAAAGGTTCTTTTTTAAAAATCCTGTTACGTAGTTCTACTCTCGGTTCGCATGTTCCGAAGATGTTTCACTTTTCTCCCGTTTGTCCGTAGAATAGTTTCCACAAAAATCTTGGGGATCATTAAAATGTTTTTAAGGAAACAGCAAACCTTCCTTTGTGCTCTGTTTAGTCAGCATATTCGTTTTCTTTAGCTCTGAACCTGGCAGATGTGCCATTTATTTCTCAGTCTCTTTTTATCCTGGAATCATGAGGCAGGTTTGTTCTGTAGTTCTTCAGAAATGTATCGCTTTTACAGCGACAGACGGGTTCAGAAAGCTTCTGTTTGAGTTATTTCTTTATTCCACTCCTCTGGCAGTCAGCTCTGGATGCTGTGTGGTTTTTGAGTAAAAGAGACGTGGAGGGGAATTCCACTTCCTTAGAGGTTGGGTCTCATAACTTTTGTTTTTCTCATTAAACGATAAAATCATAATTTGAAAACTATATCATGTGTTTATGCAGGGTTTGTTTTTGTATGAAAATATATATATTTTTTCAGGTCTAATGATAAGAATAATAAGAATGGAAGGAATCAACAACATTTTCATGATTGCATGCCTCTGGGCCCTTAATAGAGACATACATTTGATCTACGTCTATTTTAGGTGGACCCTGCAAGCAAGGAAGAGCGCTGAGCTAAATAAGGAGCAAAAGAAATCAATTTCCGTGAGACAGAAAGCTTCTGCTGGTTTTATTCCTGGAAGTAAACCGACCTAAGCAGGTGTCATATGGACCAGTGTTATACCGTTAATATTTCTGATAGTAAAAAAAAACAACTAGAAACCCAAGGTGATAACCAAGAAAGCAATTGAGGTCTGCATTAATCCCTAAAGCAGCCTTCTGAGTTATTGTTTGAACGATAAAAAAAATGTCTGATGGGCAGCAGATTTAAAGGAACACTTGTATTAATCTACACAGCAGTGGGAAAAATTCAAGGAGTCTGGATTAACAATCTGTATAGAAACCATCGCTATATGCAGCAAAGTGACATCATTCTTTAGTTGTCTGAGCTACATTTCTCTATTTGACCATTAGTGATCAGTGATCTGGCTGTCTGTATATTGTATGTATATTTTACCAAATATTTTATCTCTCTCTATTTAATTTCTCTTTTTTATGTGACAACCAGACAAAATCAGCTGATACTGTTGGACACCCTGGATCAAGAAGTCACCAAGTTCAGAGAGTGCAACACCTTGCTGGATCTCAACTCGCTGGTACGGTTCAGGCTTTTAACGTTCTGTCACTTTGCATTTCAGAGGACTGACCCAGTCTGTTCTCTTCAGTTTACAGAAGCCAAAGTTTATCAGAATAAACTAGTCAACATCAGAAAAGAGATGATCATGCTTCATGAAAAAACGACTAAACTAAAGGTACGTGGCGTGTCGCTCAGCGGTGAGCACCATGGGATTTTAAATGCCGGCTGCTAACATCCTGGGTTGTTTGGTTTCCAGAAAAGAGCTTTGAAGCTGCAGCAGCAGAAGCAGAAGGAGCTGCTGGAGAAGGAGCAGCAGCGTGAGCGGGAGCTCGAGAGGGAGAGGCAGCTCATCGCCAAACCGGCAAAGAGAACGTAACGCCGCCATCCATGTCTGCTGTATTACAGAACCACTCCGAGGGGCTCTTAGTGTTTACCGCATATCTCCAATCAATCGCTCAAACTTTAACCATTTTCCAAAGTGCAAATTAGATAATCAGACGAGTAACATAAGCCAGCTAATATTAGTTCCTGGTTTGGTTTTTGAAGGATGCCTTTGATTCAATTTTAACCTTCCAAATATTATTATTAGTTATTATTTATACTTAATGACGTCCTCATATGTTATGGTAACTGTGATTCCCCATCTCTAGTAAATGTTCTAACAGTTAGTTTCTCCTTGAAGCTGCATCTGAAGACAAAGGATATTAAATGTAAGGTCGGTTCCTCTGCCTGGCAGTGAACCCTGCACCACTGAAAAGCCTGTTTATATCCATCTAAATGATGCATTATTTCTAAGGGAATAAAATGTGTTGGTGGGTTAAGAAGGAGACTTAATTATATGGTTCATGCACATGCAAAGCTGCTACAAAGTGAGAGTTCTCAGAGATCTACACTGTCCTTCTCAGTGCTGACCTCTACCCCGGTTGACCACTTAGAGGATCCAATGTGGTTCGCATCAGAGCGACCAACATACGTTGAGGAATGGGCCGTCATCCCGTAGCAGCGTGCCCAAGCTTGTGACCACAGATGATATGGATGGCTCTAAAACTCCATGAAAACATGAATTTTGCTTACAAATGTGGCAACATTTAAGAGGAAATAAAAAAAGAAAAATCTTTCCCAGAATATGAAGAAAGGACAATTGGTCCAACTAAGAAATAGTCAGACACAAAGTTTTGCCTAATTTTTATGCTTTGTGTGTTTTTTTTCTTAATTTAAATACCTCGTCAACATCTTCTCAGATTCCCAGTCATCAACCAAAAGTACCGCAGCACAAACCCACACTGAAGATGTTGTCATGGAAAATCAGTGAACCCTAAACACCGCCTCTAGCTGCAGTTCTCTAAAAGCAAGCTTAGGAGATTGTTAGTGAAGATTGTTTCACTTCTCTAATCTTTTTCATTTTTAGTTTTTGCTGTGAGGCCAGATAAACTTCCTCCTTGTCCAGCCTTATCTGATATGCTTCCACTTCATTCAAAGTTGCTCCGTCTGTTCAGTTAATGCTGCAGTTTAATGGAATCCAATATAAACACACCAATGCTTTGCCGGAACGTCCTGCTATTAAATGTTTCCTAGTTTTTGCTGAAACAGTCTGAATTACATCATATTTATTACCCAGAAAAACAGAACGTCTAAGATTTGTAAGTAAATGTCCTTTTATAGTATGAAAAATAATTTAAGAAAGATTAAATTTATCTTTATTTTTAGTGGTGTGAATAGTTAGGGGAACAGTTAGGTGGCGAGATGAAAGGAAGCTTTATTTGGAGCCTTTTTACAGCTGTTTATCTGAGCCTTTTTACAATCACTTAAATGCCTACTTCCTTTCTTTTATTTTTCTGTCTAAAATATGAATTTTTCCTTTTGATTATACATCTGATCCAACAGAAAAAGCTTTGCTAATCAGACTAGTCTTAGAACTGTGTATTTAAGCCCCACAGCTTCCGTCTGTTCAGTGTGCTTTGGAAAATGGTTTCCTTGATAAACACTCAAAGGTAGGAGTAGATCAAAAGCTTGCAGAACATTACGTTTGGTTCATTCTGTCGATTCTGACTCGACTAAGAACAACTTGAACCAAAGACGCTGTTTGAACTCTGATACTTTGGTTTTTTTTAATCTCCCTGAGAGCAGAACAAATCATCTGTTGCCATTTTTACAGATACGTCTTGGAGAAATGTTTTAATAAGTGTTTTTTTTTTTCCTTGGGCTGCATTTGTGTTGAATGTTACAAAATAAGTGTAAGCCTTTTTTTCTGCACTAAATCTGTCTGAGGGTTGTGTGCTTTGGTAGTAGATGGTAAAATGTACAAAGCTGTAAACATTACCTGCCAAACTCAATGTTTGTTTGTTTTTTTCTTAAACCCTTCTATGCACTAGTTATGTCTGAAATTCCAGAGTTTGTAGCTCAGTGGTCTCAAACTCTATAATTATTAGGGCCGGTGTGCTACGACTTTAAATTTGTCCCTCTTCCGATGCACCTGCATCAGATGCCTAAACTACCTCACTAGCATGCAGTCCAGCTATGTAGAGCTCTATTAGTGAGCTGCTGTTGGACTCGGTATGTTGAAGTGGAGACATCTTAAAGTTGCAGGACACTGGCCCTCAAGAACTGGAGTTGGGATCGCTGTGGTAGAGTTAATAATAAAAGCAACACAATCGCTGGCTTGGACTAAATTAAATATGAGGTTTTCTCTGCTTGTTGTGTGATTTATTTTGTCAATAAATGTGTCTGAGTAAAATAATATACCAGCAGGAATCTGATCAATAAGTTCATCCATTCATTTCAAAAGAAAAGTTTGTTTATACATTGTTTTTTCTGCAATGCAGTGTTATATTAGGCATTTATTTTTTGTTAATTGTAATGGATGCAATTAGTTGGAAATGTATTTAAAATAAATGGAGAAATGGCTATTATAAGATATTTTAGGCCAGCAGTCTTCAGTTCCAGATCTGATTCCTGGTAGATGGCTGCACTACCTGACACAAACCTACCTGGCACAGCTTACCAAATATTTACTGTGTTATAGGTTAAGTCTGGACCTCAAGCAGCCTAGAATATCATTCTGTTAAGCTTTTTTTCCCCAGCCTATTGGATTTTAATCTCCAAACTAACTGCTAATTATGCTTTCATCTGGGGGGAAGAAACAATAAGCTTTTTCTCTGCTGACCTGAACCCAGGGATTTGATGCATTTAAAATTGTCCGTCATTCTGGAGTGGCTACAGAAAATTGGATATAGCCTATTAGATTTCTAAAAAACATTTTCTTGTTTTTTTTTTAAACTGCCTATAAGCCACGATCTTTAAAATAAACATTAATCTAACACATTACTTTGACTGTGAATTTAGCTTCCCCTTTGAATAACTGATATAAACTTTCTATTACACTTTAGTACTTCTTATCAAAGTTTATATTTTATAAACATACAATTATGACTTGAGCCCTTAAAATGCATAAAAAAATCATTCCATACACTTTCATTTTCAAAAGGGAGTTTCAAAAAAGGAACAGGAAAATAAATAATAGAAAGGAAAACCTTAGGGGTTGATAAGGGAAATTCTTCAAATATCTTTTTTAAATTTCATTGCATTATTGTATTGCATCTTTCTCAGACACCTCTTGAACAACTGTAGCTCATTCTTTAGAGCAAGAGAAGAAGGAAAATATTTTTTTAAATCTACATCTACCGTAAATTCTCTAATATTGGCCTGTATTCCATTAGCGGCCGGGACTCTAACATTGGCCGGTCTCGCTGTCAGAGGAGGTAAATAATGGCAGGTGTTATGCCCAAAAGTGCATGCCTGCCGAAATAGGCATCTCCAGTCGCGGGAGCGCGCCTCGTTCTGTTGAACTGCATATCGACGAGGAAAACGGATTAAAATAGGTTTAATGGAGCTTAGGTTCTTATATTAATAATATAAGTAAAAAAAAAGTTGTGGTTATTTGGCAGATTCATTTACAAAAGTACGGATTTTTTGAACAACATTAAATCCAAAGATTTTGACCATGGTACGGCTGATTTATTTGTTGTGGTCTCCTGTTATTTACACACAACACTAAACCGTGATAGCCGACGTGAGTTTTGAGTTTGCAAAGCTTTCTCTTAAGTGGAAAATCAAACGCGCATCTACACCAAGATGCGTTCGCTGCGCGTCAGAAAGCTATGATGCATTCAGGAGCATTGGAACATTTTAAACTTACAAGAATGAGGCATAAAACAGAACTGTATTTTACTGAACTGTATTGCATTTTTTTGTTTGTTTGTCTATGCACATTGCTAGCTTTTTATTCTAAAAAATCTATAATATTACAGCAGCAATTTATC